TAATTAGGGACTGACTACCCCCACTATCTTCATCCATTTCCTAACTTTACTGATGGCTGTATCCAGAACTTGTAAAAACTCTGTGCCTTGTAAGAGGATACATAGAACACAGACTGATTTTTGGAGTTTTAGCCTCTGGGCTCGATCCGTTGGCTCTTGCATTTTCATGGAACTCTTACTCCTAAAGTCTTTCTAGATATCAGCTCCTCCTAATCTGGAACTCCCTTAGGAATCTCCAGTCTGTTATTCTCTCCATCCTTGCTCAGTATCATTTTAATAAGCTTCTTTAGTTTCTCTAGAAGCTAAGAACTGACTGACTAGGGTGAAGAAATCAGACAATGGAGCAAGCACAAATTTATTCTACTATCTTTACCTGGGATCCTGGGTACACAGGGCTACAGCCATCTTGCTATCCAGGAGAATAGCCATGTGCCTTCAAAACTGTTTTTGTTACAGTGAAATCCTGTTGTCATGATCCACGCCTACTAATGGTCTTTTTGTGAGGCAAGATGTCAAGATATTATCCATCTTTCTGGGCCTTGGATTTTTGTCCCTTTAGACATGTTTTCTATGTTTATTAGACTCAACATGTCTAAAACTGTTATAAGCAGCTGCTTCTTCGACCTGCTCTCCTTTTCAGTTAATCTTAGATGTCCAAGCCAGAAACCCGGGAGTCATACTTTACCTCCTCTCTCTTTAACCCTCACCGAAGTCCATTGACTTTGGTTCTTAAATATCTGCAACAAAAATCCACTACCTTCTATCCTAATTAGCACCACTCTACTCCAGGCAACTTTCGTCTTTCACCCAGATTACTGTGGCAACTTTCTGACTGGTCTTATAGCCTCCAATCTTACTTCTCTTTTATTGTCCAGACCTGAAATATTTTTCAAAAATGCAAACTGATCATTGCATTCCCCTGCTTAAAATTCTTTAGTAATTCTCCTTAGGAGAAAGCCCAAACTCTTTAACATGGGTCTTATAAGGTATTTCGTAATCTGCCTCATCTTTGTGCCACTTTTTCAATTCATATTCTCTGTCTCAGCCACATCACTCTTTCAGTTTCTTGTGCTACCGTATTCATCTTCATGTCCAAACTTTTTCCTGGTAATGCTTTGACATTGGCAGTTTCTGGATTTTGACGAAGTGACTCTTACTCATTCTTTATGATGCATCTTAAACATTATTTCTGTAGTGAAACTTTCTCTGCAGTGCTGAACTAGATTAGTTGCCCTTGTTGTGTGCTCCTGTAGCATCCTTTATTTTTCATATGATAGCACTTAGTACATTTTAATTGTATTTACTTGGATTTTTTTTTTTTTTTTTTTTTTTTGGAGACAAGGCCTTGATCTTTTGCCCAGGCTAGAGTGCAGTGGCATCATTACAACTCACTACAGTCTCAAATTCCTGGGGCCAAGTGATCCTCCTGCCTCAGCCTCCTCAGTAGCTAGGACTACAGACATGTACCACCATGCCCAGCTAATTGTTGTATTTTTTGTAGAGATGGGGGTCTCGCTCTTGCTTAGGCTGGTCTCGAACTCCTGGCCTCAAGTGATCCTCCTGCTTGGTTTAATTACTTGTTAAGTGTCTAGACCATAAACTCTGTGAGAGAAGTTACTCTGCTATCTTGCTTGTCATTGTGAGCTATTCAAAGATGGAATGGATTTTCTTGGGAACTTATGTTTCTTGTCAGCAGTAGTATTCATGTGTAGGTTGAATAGCCCCAAGTTGAAAATGGAAAGCCTTTAAGTCCTTTCCAAACAGGAGATTGTTTTTTTAGTATTCAAGGCTCATGTATATATCTGCTTTAAAAGACTCTATAAGTCATTGTAAAATAATTTTACCTAACTGGAAGTAATTGAATATTCAATGACTAATGGCATATAGAGGACCTAGGAGATATTTCTAATTTAGAGCACTATATCTGGAATTGTTGAAATTAATGTTATATTTTATATCTCTTACAGGTGAAATGAATCAGAAATACAAGGAGCTAAAAAAAAGGGAGGAAAATATGGACAGTAAGTGATATTCTTATAGATAAAAGTATTATATTCTCAGATTACTTTCATTTATATGAAACCAGAGATCTCATTTTAGGGAAATATAATGGCTAATAAGTGCAGAAGAAGTGTGGACATTTAAAGCATTTTGCCTTGAAGAATAAGTAAATTTCTACTGTAATTTAAGGATGAGTAGAGAATTCTAAAAAGGTATATGTATGTGTATGTATGAGTATTTGCATGTTGGAGATAGATTCTAAAGCTAGTACTTATATTCATAGTCTGTATAGAGAGAACCTATGGACCACTTATCGATTGAACGTTGAATGCTCTCTTTTACGTGCTTCACTTTGTTCACCTTTAATATCTTTCACTTTCATTTTAATTTTTCATAATACTTATTATTTATTAGCCGTCACCTCAAATTTTGTTACTACCACCAACTGTAATGTTAGTAGCCTTCCGTTACAGTTTTTATTCACTTTAAAAAAAATAATCTCAGCTTTACTTTATAAATGGATCATTTAAACTTGTACATTTTTTAGAATTTAGAATCAATTTTTTAGAAATTGACACATACTGTCTATTACTGGTTTCCTTTTAAGTTATCATTTTGCCAAAATCTGAAGTTTTATAGATCTGAAGTTAATTGTTACCTTCATAAAGGCATGCTATAAAACAGTAATTGTCAACTCTGATTTCACAATATACCAAGAGTTCTCTAAAATCTCAGCAAATACCAGACGTTATCTCAAAATTAATTCTTTGTTTTGTTTTTTTTTTGAGACAATCTCACTCTGTCTCCTGGGCTGGAGTGTAGTGGCATCATCATAGTGTCAGGTCTGGCCTATTGGTGGACTGTTGTCCTAGTTCTTTGGCTCTTTGCTTGGAAAATTCATAAGCAGGGCCAGTATGACAGAGTAACCACAGACAGGAAGCAATTTCACACAAACAGCTTTTATTGCAGAAAAGAAGGGAGCTATACAAAGTGAGAATACGTTCCAGAGAGGAATGGGTCAGTCTCCACGAGTGGAGAAAGATGTTGAGGACTCCCAGGTGGTTTCTTTTTATTGGCCTAGTCTGGGGAAGGGCTTATGGGAGGTGTGGGATGTTACCAGACGATTGATATACATGATTCGCAGGTGTTCTTATAACAAAGTTGCAGCTCCACAGGTGTGTATGCCTCAAAACCTCTCAAGTTCCTGCTCTTTGCAGTTAGCTACTGCATTTTCCTGCAATCTCTCCCTGTCCCCTCCTTCTCCACCCCTAGGAACCACCTTCCTGGTCTGTATCTGCCACCTTTGGATTTGGTTCCTGCCTAGTACACTGCAACCTCAAACTCCTGGGCTAAAGTGATCCTCCTGCCTCAGCCTCCCAAGTAGCTGGGACTACTGGCACACACCCCCACACCCAGCTAATTTTTCTACTTTTTGTAGAGATAGGGTCTCGATCTTGCTCAGGCTGGTCTCAAACTCCTGGCCTCAAGCAGTCCTCCCACCTTGGCCTTCCAGAGTGCTAGGATTACAGGTGTGAGCCACTGTGCCTGGCCATTGTTTTCTTTTTTTAAAAAAAGTGGTTTTGGTAAAGGAGAGAGTGTAAAATCAAGGAATGATGTGTTATGACTCCATAATATTGGAAATCATTAGATACTACGCAGTATGGTATCTGGCACTTAGGTGGCCCTTAATAAATGTTCATTTAATGAATGTTTACCAAATGAATTAAAGAAATTCCTATGCTACAGAATCTTAAAATTGGAGGTCATCTATCCCAGATTTCTTCCTGTGTCTTAATTATGGCTTGTTTTCCTAACAAAATACTTCTGAAAGAGAATATTCATATATGCCTTTGTATGTGTAAAAATCTCATTTGACTGCGTAATACATGATCAATGCATTGTATAATCAGGGTAATCACACTTGAAACCTGAATTTAAGATGTTCAAGTAGGACATTAAAGGAAATTCAGTTTTTAAAAAAATGTTGATGTGGTCTTCT